CTATCTGTCCAGACATTTAAAGTTTCCCCTTCAGCTCTTTCCAATGCTCTAATTAATGCCCACCATTCTGCCACTTGAGCACTGCAGTTTGCTCCTAGCGGACTACTTTCCACCACTTCCTCATCATTCACAATCGCATATCCAGAAACCCTCCTCCCATCCTGCATGTAACTCGAGCCGTCTGTATACCAATTTAGGGCAGCATCCTGAAGAGGAATATCAGATAAATCCGGACGCTTGAATATACAGTTTCCAAAACTTGCAAGCAGTTGTGTTCTGAATCCACTTCTGTGGGCAATAGGGTGGCAGGGTTTAGCCGGTTAGACACCACTAATTTCACTTGAGGATTTTCAATCATCATCGCCTGATACTTAAAAAGCCTTTGACTGCTGATCCACAAATGCCCTTTATTATCCAAGATAGAATGAACTGCATGAGGGGGGTGGACACTTATGGAACATGAAAAGGTCAATTTATTACAGTCCTGTAAAAGGACTGCTATAGATAGCAGCAAGAACCTTCAGACAATGTGGCCAGCCTTGGGCAACCCCATCTAATTGCTTAGATAAGTAAGCCACCGGGCGTTGCCACTGTCCTAATTGTTGAGTTAACACCCCCAAGGCAACATTCTTCCTGGTATCAACATACAAATTGAAAGGCTTCTCTAAGTTAGGCAAGGCTAAAGCTGGAGCTGATGTGAGAGCTCGTTTCACTTCCCTAAAGGCATTCTTTTGTTCTCCCTCCCATTCAAAAGCAAACAACGGCTGGCTAGCCTTGTGAATAGGAATCGTGAAAAAAGCATCTTTCAAATCCACAACTGAAAACCACTTTGCTACGAACAAGTGTATACCTCCTTTAGGCTTCCTGATTAAAATTGTCCACACTTGATAAGAAATGCTAACCACCAAGATGTCCCCAAATGTCAATTTTAGATAAAAATGCCACTGGCTGCCTTTCCCCCCTCCCCACGCACACATTTCTGGGCCAAAACCTCCTCCAACCTTTGTCCTTGTTTATAAATAAATTACCTAGCAAAGAACCAACAAAGGAGAGCTCACCAAACCTTGTTTGCATTTATTAACACAAGCTCTTTTTCCAACAGTTTTGCATACAAATCTTTACTCAAAACAGCATAGCTATTTATAATCCCAAAATTTTTCTCAACTTCGTTCTAACTTCACACAAAAAATAAACAAGTTTAATAAGATATTCTGAGTTACTGAAAGTTTTTTTTTTCTAAACTCTAGTATTGCTTTTAATATAAAGTTAGTCAAATCCCAATTTAATCAAATTCCATTCAGATGGAAACAGATTTCCATTAAATTTCCATTAAATAGGGAGAACATTTACAAATCTAAGCAAACTCTTTTGGTTGATATTAAACAATTTAAACTCAAAAATTTCCCAAAAAAATTGTCCAACAATTACTGACTCCTCTTTTGAATAGAAAAAAAACTGCAAAACTGGGCATTAAATTTTCACAGCCACCCAACCTTTCTCAAACCTGAATTCTAAGCAGGGAAAAAGTTAAAAAGATCAACCCAGAAAAAGTTAAAAAGATCAACCCAGAAAAAGTTAAAAAGATCAACCCAGAAAAAGTTAATCAACCCCTCCCCTTTCTCCTCTCTCTCTATCTCTCTCTATCTCTCTCCCTCTCAAAGCAACACAGCCAGAAAAAAAAGCAGGGGGGGAAAGGGGGTTGTGTCTGCAGATAGAGTTTGAAAAGGCATTAACACACTAACATTTGCAAAAGGGAGAGAGCAGAATAGGCAAGAAAATGGTATAGGATTTCCTGCCTGAGCAGGTAACTTTGGGCTGTTCTTAAGAGGGAGAAAAAATAAATAAAAAAACAAACACATCTTTCTTCACTTTGTTTGTTGGCCAGACAAACAGAGTGAGGTTATTTATTTATTTATTTATTTTTGTATCTTCTTTTCTCTTGAGGTTAGTAACAGTCATATTTACTTCACACACAAAGACTCTGCTTTCAAATCCACAACTGATCTTCCTGCTCCAGTATCCACCAAAAACGTTGTCTGTTTGCCCCCTATATTTAAAGTAACCAATGGCTCAGGGGGGGCTTCCTTCAAGCCAGGTCCTCGTCAATCTGACCAGTTAGTCCCTGCCAATCCAATTCCCTCAATCTCCCTGTCTCTATTCCAATGTCCCATTCCTCAGACCATCTCTTACACTCCCTGGACCATCTCTCACATTCCTTGGAGCCCCTCTCTGCCCTCTACCCATGAAGGGGGAGTGCATGGGGGGCCCACTGCCAACACCTCCACATCCTCTGCCTTCTCTTCCTCTCCAACCTCTACCTCGCATCTGCCTTCTTGGACATTCTTTTTGCTAATGACCTCCCTCCTTGCAATTAGCACACTGGTTGGGTCCCAGCATGATCCCTCCTTGCAACGCCACCGCCAACAACTCAATTTTCTTATGCATTCTAGCATCTCTTTCCTGTTTTTCCACCTTATCCCTATTAACAAACACCTTCCTGGCCACCTCCAACAATTCTGTAGTGTTCTTTCCTAATGCTCCTTCTAACTAACCTCTGCAACTTCTTTCTTATATCTTCATAACTCTGTGCTATGAACCTCTCATTCAACATTCGCACATTGTCTGCACTCCTTGGATCAACCTGTGTATAAAGCCCATAAGCCTCAATCAGCCTTTGCAAAAAACTTTCCGGACTTTCATCTGCCTCCTGCATCACAAAAGACGGCTTTAACACATTCACTGAAGGCTTTCCAGCCTTGCAAAGAGCCTCTACTACTAAATTCTGATATTCCTTTAACAAAGTCATGTGTGCTGGATTTTGTGTATTCCATTCAGGGTCCTTTTCTGGTGCCCTGGCTTCCATCTCTGGCTGTATATCCCGCACAGCCAGCAACCTATCCTTCAAACACTGCCTAACAGCAGCCTTCCACTTCTCCCTTTCCTCGGGAGTCAACAAAATATTCAACAATTGCTCCTCTTTACTTGCTTCTCCCCTCACATTTACGGAGAGACCTTCCAAATCCCCTTCCTCCTTGGGGGCTGACAGCCTCCCCCTTTCTGTTTGTCTCACAGCTGGCTGCCTTTCTTCGGACACAGCAGGGGCAATCAGCCCTTCCTCCGTCAGAGCGGCTGCTGGCTCTGCCACAGCCGGCACTGGGGGGGGGAAGGGGGAGAAAGGTGGAACGTAGGGAGGAGGTCTGAGAATCAACTCCTCTACCTCCATCCTTATCTCCTTCTTAGCATCTGACACCTTAGTTTCTGAAATCTTCACATCTTTCACTCTTTTAGTTTGTACTTGAAGCTTTTTTTCCTTTGGGTCTAGCCACACACAAATGAACCATTTCAGCTTGACATTGCAATAACTCATCAGCTCGTCCTGCTACTGCATCCCCCCAACTGATCTATATACTAAAATTGGTTAGGATAGTTTTCTTAAAAGTCCCCTCTGGGGGCCACCCCACATCCATACTACGGCCCCCCATCCTAACACACTGCCAATGACCTACAGCGCCGGCGGTAACTAGTAGGGAATGCTCTGGCTTAACCACCCACACAACCTAACACGGACTTCATTAGGATCGCCGTCCCGAGTCCAGGGGAGTGATCAGGCCCCCTCTTCTATCTTCAAGTGAGATAGGTACCATTACTTTAAACACATACTCGCCTGCCTTGTAGCTACACCCATCCTGGCCAGGAGTTGGTTCAGACTTCCTTTCCTTTCCCAAAGGGTTCTTGGACTGGCCTTCAGTACTGTCGGCTCTGCTGAGAAGCCACAGCTGTCTCCTGGAGGAAACACACCCCCATGGCGCCTGGAGAATTGTTCAGAGATGGCTTACCAGCAGGTCCGAAGGGTCCAGCCGTCCTCAGCGAAATATCGCCTCACTCAAGCTTTTCCCGGCCAATGCACCAGAAAATGTTATAGAATTAAAAAAAAACTTGAATCAGCTCTTTCAGGAAAGGGAAGTTTATTGCGCAGGTTCAGAGAGCCATCCTGGCTGAAGGAATCTGAACCCAGATTGTACATTGATGACCATTTTTATAACCCTTTCTGGCGGGGGTTATTTTCAGGTCACATTACATTCTATAGGTCCTTATTCTAACATAGAAAAACTACTAGACAGATCTATAATCGATAGCTCCTCGTTTACATTGGAATGTTTTTAGCAATCAGCAATATATCAAGTGTTAAGCAATTTAGATACACCATGTGACAAGCAGTTAGTAATATATCATGTGCAGAGCTGGGAACAGGATGTCTGGCCATCCTAAATTTAAGAGTTGTCTTGTAAGCAAAACAAACCTCCCTTACACACACAATCTTTGGTGGGCCATCTGCTTTTTACCCATATTCTTTGTCAGACCATTAATATTTTTCCAGGTACCACTTTAGAATAACATAGAATAAAGTAAAATAATAATAATGAAAAATCACTAAAAGCAAAAATCATGTGTCTGCATAATCTCTGAAAGAAAGCTGTGTTAGCCAAAAGCTGTATTAACAGTATGTGGATGACCTAATGCATATTTAGAAACATTGTATAAAAGTAAAAACTGCCTTCATTGTATTCCCATGAGAAATGGAGCTAACGTGTGAGAAACTATCTGAATGTTACACAAAGTAGATTCCATATACAATGTAAGATTCCATCTATGCTTCCTGTGTTCCTGAGAAAAAGAAACCTATAAAGCTTTAGTTTAGACCCTCCCCCTTGTTCATAAATTTGCTGATTGTTAAATCACTTCTGAACCTTTTTGCGCAAAAATAAAGATCTCTCTTTCACCCATGGAATTTCGTAAAAGCCCTTTATTTTTTTAAGGCTTTATTTTTCCACAAGACCATGCTATTTTATCCCCCGCACATTGGGTCCCAAAGGGAGGGAAATAACATAAACAACAACAAGAAGACAGGGCCAGCGTTTTCGACTTTGAAATCCCTGAGCTATCGTACGGACCCCCCCCCCTTCCAAAAAGCCGTTAACCCGCCTTTTCGACCACGCGATCACTAAAGAACTTCGTTTCCGTCAATACGAACACTCGATCAGCCAATGATATTTTAAGGAAGACGCTCGCGAGGTTTTCGTTTCTTCACCATGGCAACCATAGTCCGGTAAATCTTCGCGTCTTCTTCGTTGTGGGCCACCGGCGGTTCGTCATGGTGAGCAACCGATGCTTCTGCTGCTTTTCACCCGCCCGTTAATATTCGGTCGTACTTTTGCTTCACTTACTGGGAGAAATGGAATTTAGGATTATTCGCGCAAAATGTGGCGCTTCCCTCCTCCAACTGAAAGAGGCCCGATCGCTCTCTTACTGAATTCCAAATTATCAGCTTAGATCTTTACATTAGAAATTAAGATGTGTAACCTTAAGACTCCTGTGACTATTGCCAAAGATTAGGGCTACCAATTCTTGACTGCAAAAATCCGTATCATTAGATAGTAGCAAAAAGAAACAAGAAAGCTCACGTTGTCTATATACAACATTGATATGGAAGCTTTTACTTACGCCGAATTCGCATTATACACATCTCTCTGATATTGGATTTTTGTCTTGAAGCATTTGATCACAACCCTACCCCCCCCCCTTTTTTTTTTTTTTTTGCTAGTTCGCTATCAAATCTCTTGCAGGACCATTCTTAGTATTGATTTATGCTGGACAGATCACAGAAATAATGGTGGTAAACCTGTGCAACTTTCAATAGGGGCCTCTCTTGCCTTGAGTGAATTTGGGATTGTTGGTGAATGAATGAATCTGAGAATGACGATGGTGAATTTCTAATTGATATTCTCATTCTCATTTTTCCTCCTTTTGCATATTCTGTTCTTTTCTAAGACTGTATGAAGATTGTATATATTTATTCAGTTTTTATAGTATTATTTATTATCATTATGGCTACCAAGATTGATTTTTAAATCTGGACAATGTAATTATATGATATGCACAGTGACTTAAAATTGTTGTACAATATATATTAGGGCTCAATAATTCTGAGTGTATATATTTTCAGAAAATTATCTATAAATCATGTGCCATTTAGATATGGGGAAGCATAAGTACCCTTTAAATTAAGTAAATAAGTTCTTTAAATATTATAGAAAATCCATGTTATTCATCTTTATATCAGTATTTTATATTCTATATGCAGGCAGAGTTGGGTCTAAATGATCACCATCAGAATGAAGTGATCAACTACATGCGATTTGCACGCTCTAAACGTGGTCTGCGCCTTAAGACAGTAGATTCTTGTTTTCAAGACCTTAAGGAAAGCAGGTAATATGAGAATGGGAAAAATTACCTCAGAGGCCAATTTTAGCAATATTCTTTAATCCTCATGTTCAGTTTAAATCTTTTTAATTTTATTTTGAACATTTATGACAGATAACATGTGGACTGCTTTACAAAATAAATATTTGGCTGATATGTATTAAAGTCTGCAACACTTTGAATTCAAAGGTAAAAAGGTACTTTGGAGCACAATCAAGCATGCACATATTAGTCTGCAACCAGGAATGTGTGCATAGGATGTCCAATATTCAAGATGGCAGCTGTGGTTATGTAACACACACATAAAAGGTGTAAGACTTCAATCATAGAGTCATAACCATTGTTTAGAGGGGGGGTTGACAGTGCTCGGTCCCATTTCTACAATTTTTAAAGCACTATTCTCACACAATACAGGACTGGGAAAAGGCACTGTTGCTTTAATGAATGCTATATGAATCAAAATCTCATTTTTGCCATTGAATCCAAAAGACTGCAGTCAGGATGTGCATAGTCTCTTTCTATATTGCATTTGTTATTAGTCTCTTATATAATTACTTCAATATTGATTAAAATCAGTACTTAGAATTGACTCTCCACACCTCTCTTTTTAATAAAGAGGCCAAATTCTGGCATATTTATATATAGCCATCATTATTAACTGTCCCTTCTCTCTTCTTGTAGTTTCTTCCCTTTCCTTATGTAAAAATGTTTCCAGCTTGTTATTTTATTAAGTGTATGTGTATTTGCCTGAAAAAGTGTTATAAAAATATAATCTCATGCCTATTACAGAATTTAAATATGAAAGACAAAATTGTACCTCTTATTAATTAATTATAATTTGCAATTATTTGTTTCAAATGCAGCTTGTTTCAAAAGTACCATTTTAAAATGGAATATTTAACATTCTTTAATTTTCTAACCATTGCTAGAATTTTGCCCTTTATATATTTTGTGCACTTAGCACTACTTTACTGGTTTCTATTGTCCATCATAACACATCACTGTTTGAATAGCTATCTTCAGAAATTCCCTAATGAAGTATGAGAAAATATAGCAAGTTAAAATGTGATGGTGGTATCACTCACATTCATGCAAAAGCAATTCTCTTCCATACATCAACCGTAATTTTATTTAAATGCAGTTCCAATGGAAAAAGTCACAGTTGAAAGATGAGCAAGAACAGAGTCTTTGACTTACCACCATTTATTTAATGATGGTTTGGAATTATGATGGCTTCATAATTACAGCGCATAAAGCACTTCTGACTATTGCAAAATGTTACACTAACATTCTGAAAATCCTGCTTGGATTTGGCAGAGAAGATTTTCAGCTCGAGCGGAGTGTTCTAGGGTTTTTCTCACTACCCTAAGGTACCCCAGGGTCCTTAACTGAGATTCTATCCACTTAACAACCTGTGGCAGTTGCTTAATGACTACAACCACGAGTACTAGGATTACAGTCATTGAGGAAAGCAGTCATATGGGCAGTAACGTGGACATCTTGCTTAACAATGCTGCCCTCAATGATTGAGATTCTAGTCCCAATTGTGGTTGAAAGTCAAAGACTATTTGTATATAGAGTGATATAAAATAAATAAGTAAATTACTCACAAATTTAGAAATTATATTTTTAATGGAGTATAGGTTTCATCACTGCTATTTATTGATGAAATGAGTAATAGCCTCTGAGACTATGAATTTGTGCTGGTTTTTTGCTAGTTCTGCTGAATAAATTCTGAATAAATCTGACTTGCATTGATGACATATTATATGTTGCCTATATTTAGTGAAATGGAATGTCCACATGAACTATGCTTTTCAAAAAATGTTTTTGGAATAGTTAGCATAGTTTTTAAAATCAACCTATTTCTGGATTCTCTTCTTTAGGCTGGTGGAAGATACATTCACTGTTGATGAAGTGACAGATATCCTGGATGGTTTACAAACTGTAGTGCATAGTGAGGTGGAATCAGAACTTATTAATACAACTTACACCAATGTATTACTTTTACGACAAATTTTTTCCCAGGCAGAGAAATGGTGTCTTAAATTGCAGACTGACATTTCAGAACTGGAAAATAGGTGAGAACTTTAAAGATAACTTCATAGATTTTAAATACTGTTATTAATACAGGTAGTCCTTGAGTATGAATGTAATGGAGCCTGCCAATTACATTTGTAACCCGAGGATTCGTTGGAGTGAATCACATCAAATGTGAAAACTCCATCCTATCGCCCACGCATTTGCTAATTGAATGCGCAGGTTGTTAAGTGCACATGAGGTATATCAAGGTGGGGAAAGCCATGGGGGGGGGAGTAGTGATGGAACATGCCACCTGCTTAAAATCACCCAAGGCTTCCAATTGCATGATATCTCGTGCAATTGCTTCTCTCCTCACCCTGCCAAGATCTATCTCCTCTTACGAAGACCTGTCTCCTCTCTGTTGTGGTCTCTTTGATGATTTTGCTTCCAGCATCCGATCAGCTTGCAAATGCTTTTCACATGCCAAGAGTGAAATATTCTGGGCGCCATGATCTCATGGGACTTCAGACCATGAGATCATGGTGCCCAGAAGCTTCCAGTCTCTGTGCAAAATGTTTGCGAGCTAATGGGACACTTTGAGGTGCAAAATCGTGCTGCTTCAAAGTGTCTCACCAGCTTGCAAACGTTTTGTGGCGAGAGATGTTCTGGGCACTGTGATCTCTAGGGATTTCAGGCATTTCACTCTTGGCACAAAATGTTTGCAAGCCAACACGACACTTTTGAGGCAGCACAATTTCGTTGCCTCAAAGTGTCCCATCGGCTTGCAAATGTTTTGCACGGAGATTGGAAGCTTCTGGGTGCCTGAAGTCCTGTGAGATCACAGCGCCCAGAACATTTCACTCTTGGCATCCAAAAAGCTTTTGCAGACCAATCAGATGTTGGAAGCAAAATCATCAAAGAAACTGGCAGAGAGGAGACAGATCTTCACAAGGTAAATGACCCAGCGTGACAGGTTGGGAGGGGAGAAGCAATTGTGGGGAGCAGGCGAGGTAATAGCCAGGGTGAATGTTGCAGTGCCTCTGTGGTCATTGGTAAGGGTGAATAACTGCCGTAGTGCTGCAACATTCATAATTTTGGGATTATGTTATAAATACTTTGGGTTATCATGTAACTTTGAATGGTCACTAAGTGAACTGTCATAACTCAGGGATTACCTGTACATATTCTTTCTTCATAATGTCAATCCAGTACATTGATATAATAATTGATAGCAGAGTCCCAACACTGTTTATTTAGAAGTGGATCTAGATTACTCAATAAAGCTTATTCTCTCAAAAGTTTTGTTTTTAATTTTCTTACTCTCAAAAATAATGTTTTCATTTGAGATGTCTGATTGTTTCCTGTTTATATTACAAAGACACCCTCAAGATAAGCTCAAATCCTAGTAACCATGTGTTTGCATTTACATTGGCACTATTGCTAAGGTTGTTTGCCACTGCTTTTTCTAGGCTACTTTTTTACTCTCAAATCTAGCTAACAACCCTGGAGTTCTCAGATGCACCCTCATCCAAAATCTAGTATCCGGCACAAAAGAACAGGTCATACCTGAAGGGTCAATTTAACTGCTTTATTACTGAAAGCTTATGTATAGAAATCTTCTCATCTTACAGTCAGTATTTGTCTAGAACAGCGGCTCCCAACTTTTTCTGTATTCCGCACTTCTAGAACGCTTCTGATATATTCTCGCATCCTTTACAAAAGTTCAAAATAATAGCAATGAATTATGCACATATGCTATAATTTTGAAAACCCAAGTTTTCACACCTTCTGGAATATCATCTTGCACCTCCGTTGGGAACCCCTGGTCTAGAGTCAGATAAGGGTCAATGGCAGTAATGTGGGGTTGAGGGGGTTAGACATACATATCTAGGCTGATCCCCATTTTTATCCCTCTCTCTGACTCTGCCTGTCCTTCTCTTACATCTACTTAGCATCTGAGATCAACCAAGGTTAACTGACAGATTCTGCCATCTACTGAATGTAATTTAATGTTCAATAGATTTAACTAAAACGTTTATTGCTTTTTTCAAGGGATTTATTAGAACAAGTTGCTGAGTTTGAAAAATCAGAATTTACATCTCCAAATAAGAAGGTATGACTATTTCTAAAAGAGTGGTCAAACTAAAAAATATCTCTGGGTTTATGTTGTAATGGGTACATGTATGGGTCCTGAGGATTTTATAAAAATTTAGTATAAGACCGTAATCTAATTTTTTGTCCTGAGCAGTTTTTTTTACTGCCTTGATTAGTTTAGTATCTGGCTCTCTGGTTAATACAACTTTTTATTTTGTTCTGTTAATTTCTGTACAATAACATATACCTTCCTCAATGTCTTCTGCATTGGTTAGTTAATGTCCCTTGACAGACTTAATACTAAATAAATGTCTCCTTTCCTTATCAGTAAATGTAGCACAGGTAGCACAAATCAATACAAAGTATTTTGGGTGCTTACTGTGTTCAAGTCTGGATATGTGTGACCAGACAGCAGGAGGAAGTAGCCGAATTCGACATAATTATAACTTATGGAAAAATAATACAGAAAGTTACTTTCATAGGTCATATAGAGTCTCTTTGAGGCCACTGTTGGCAATAGGATTGGAAAATGCTGGAGCCAATATTAAAGGGGAGATTTTAGCAGTTTTACCAGCTTGATAGGTCTAATTTACCAAATTAAATAAATTGTTTTCTGAGGCCAACCTATTATTTCTGTAGTAAACTACCTATGGCATTACAATTTACCTTTGTTACTTTGGGAGGTGAAATCAACAAAATATATCTTTCATGGCCAAGAGATTGCCCATTTCAAGAATCCTTCAAATATTACCAAAGGATGTCATAGGGTAGTTTTTTGCTTACCAGTTCAAATCCAAGGATACATTCAGAATTTGTTTAAAATTCTGTAGAATCAGAGAAAACTCACTTGGAAGATGTAAAGCAAGCAATCTTTCTAATCTGTTTTTAATTGCAAAACAGAATTTGATTTCTGTTTTTTATCTTTGGTATTATTTTAATTTATATCTCTTTTTGATAAATACAATTTATGTGTGAGATCTTGTCTGATTGCAAATGCTAACCAGAAATGATTTCCAATCACAATAAGGGGATGAACAATAATTACTAAATATTAATTTTATGAATATACCTTAAAATTAGTTTGACTCAGGAGATCCAACTTCTGAATAGATTTATATTGTGTTAGAGACACTTGATTTGTATTTTTTCCTTTTTAGCTGAATCCAGAGTTGGTTAAAACTAAACTTACTCCATTGCATGAGGGAGCATCAGAATTACTAAACAAGGTGACACTTCATTCATATAATAATTGTTTCACTTCACTCATTGTAATTAGTTATCAATTGAACCAAATATATTTATTATTATTCAAGCTATAGAAGTTTAAGTAATCTCTAGTAATAACTTTAAACTGCTAATGACTGATTAATTGTAAAAACAAATTCTCTGTATTTTAGCATATTTGAAAAAAAGAAAAATCCACAAATAATTTGGAAATACAGGTAGCCCTCAACTTACAACAGTTTCCTTAGTGACTGTTGGAAGTTAAAATGGCATTAAAAAGTGTCTTATGAATATTTTCCAATTTATGACCATGGCAGCATCCCCATAGTCACATGATTTATATTCAAATGCTTTACAATTGACTCACATTTATGACGGTTGCAGTGTCCAGGGTCATGTGATCACTTTTGCAACTTTCTTTCAAGCAAAGTCAGTGGGGAAACCTGATTCACTTAACAGCCATTTTACTAATTTAACAACTGCAGTGTTTCACTTAACAAATGTGGCAAGAAAAGTTGTAAAATGGAGCAAAACTCTCTTAACAAATTTGTCATTTAGGCAACAGTGATAAAAAAATGTAATTTAAATAATAATTAAAAAGCTACTATGTCGGAATTAAACAGATAATCTCTATGTACTGGTGCAGTATACACAAGCATTATCTTTTTCAGGCTGTGATAAATGATCCTATAAAATATCTTTAAATATTTCTACAGTTTGTTTGATATTTTGCCTGCAGGAAATAGCAAGACTTCATGAAGAAAATGAAAAATTGAAAACTCGATTAAAGACAATAGAGCTGCAGGTAAAATCCTTTGATAAATCAAGTATTACTTTTATTTAACAGACATTCATTTAGTAGATCTGAGGTGCAGTGGACATTTCCATCTAGATATTCCAGAAAAATCTGTTGTATCTAAAGATACTTAAATTTATGTTAAATTAGATTATATTATGTTACTTTGAATCAATTTAACTTGTATAATGACTTAATTTCACAAATGATGTAGATTGCTAGAGAAATGACACAATTTTGTGTAATATGCAAAAGACAGAATGATGCAGTTCTCAATTAATCATATATATTCATATTTAACTTTCTTTATCCAAAATAATCTGTTAGATTGAGGCTTTACCATAGATGGGTAGAGAGATTAATATAATCAGAAGAAGAAAATGGTAAACTATTTCTATAGTAGAAAGATACATCTTTTTAAAATAAGATTTGATCTGAATTTTCAAATCTATTGCAGGCTACAAATGCACTGGATGAAAAATCAAACTTAGAAAAGGCTTTACAGAATTTACAGATTGCTCAGGGGGACCAAAAGGTAAAAAATATTTTTAGACCATATCCAATAACTACAACTGTTTTGATAAGATTATTCCATGAAAATTATTTTAGCTGTGTTTCAAAATCTTACAGTGAACTTAATTAATTAATATAATGTTCTGCAGTATAGTCCAATTTTAAACCATAGTAATAACAATTTCCTTGCTTCATCCTAATTTTTTAGGTTCCATAATATTCCTAATATACACAGCTATTCCATTTTTTTCCACCACAATTTTTGATCTGAATCCTTGTATTTAGCAAATTAACACAGCCTTTTTAAATATATGTCTCTCAAAGATACAATGATGCATAAAGGTTTGTGAACCCTTTTGAATTTTCAGTTTTTCTGCATAAATATTCTCTAAAATTTGATTACACATATCCTAAAACTAGATAAAGATAACCCAATTAAACAAATGAATCAAATATTAATTCAAGTCAGCTTTTTGTTGTTAATTTAACTCTTCATTGTGAATAGGCTTTTGATTTCTGATAAACAAACACCAGTTTCTCCACAGTCCCGCTAATTTCCTCTAGACTTGTTGAATCTTTTTTTTATTTTGCCCCTGCTGGCTCTTTTTTTCAAAAGAAAAATTTATGTTTAAAAATAGTTTTTAATTAAACAGATTCAGGAAAGTATATTCAATTGTTCAAAGAACTAACAGAATATAAATAAATTCATAAAATATGTGCAACACAATAAAAAAGCAAAGACATTGTAGGCTTTAATAACATTTCATTAAATACCATTATATTCTGACAATTGCCAAACTTTGTACAATATTCAGCTCCTTGTATTGAAGCTCTTTTGTGATGTCAGTTGAGGAAAAATCAACATGATTCAAATAAGCTAAAAATAGTTTCCAATATAGGAGGAATCAGTAGAATTGAAATAAATTCAAACTGGCAGACGAAAGATTGGCCATAGCAATATGGCTCATCACTAGGCTGCAGACAGTAGAAGTCAAACTTACTACCAGGCACCTATAAAGCAGAGTGGATGAGACTGGGTAAGATCTGAACTTCTCTTTAATCTGAATTATTTTTTTCCACCTGTATAAGCTGCCCCCCTGTGGAGAAAGGGAAGGGAAACTTTATCCTACCCTCTAAAAATAGCGGTGACTGACTATCCAGGGGAGTTTAAAACATTGAAACAATAACCTGGTTTTAATGGAGATTTATCTTTCTAAAATTTGAGGACTAAAAGATTTCCTATCCTTATTGAAGATTTGGGTTTTTGTTTACAAAAAAGAAGTAAAATTGGAAAAAGGACTATAAAAACCTTGGATTTAGAAAAAATCCTAAACGGTATGGGCGACATCTTGTGACTAAACCTGATATTGCAATCTGTTATTGTCTGGAAGAGACTTGGCTTGAAGCCCAGGCGACAGATAAGACTTTCGTAAACTTGGCAATCAGCTATGAGAAACTCAGCTGTGTTCTACACTCAGTGATAAAATTATTTTCACTTTCTGATTGTAAAGGTTTTGATTCAGACCATTAAGAGAATGAAGATCAGGAACAGATTTTATTTATGCTGAAAGCAATTCATGAAACTTCTTAAAGCCACTGATGAAATAAGAGGCTACAAAAAAGAACAAGATGTCAGCCTATATATTCAAACCCCAAACTTTGATTACAACCAAAGAATTAACTATACAGAATATATCAGAAGAAATGGAGCAATTAAATACTATGATAGAAGATTCAACTGATCAACAAATATAGTTAATGGAAAACTCAGAAAAGGGATTGACAACTTTGAAAATGGAAAAGACTTTCTATATAAACCAGAAGAAACCTGAGAATCAAGAAGAAGAATAGATCAAAGGGAAGATAAACATTTCAGGACAACTACGCCAAGAGAGAAAAATAGAGAGACAATTTATTAGCCCCTTTAAAAAAATGGTGATTGGATGGCCTTTCTTATTTCAAACAATATACATAATAATACAGGGGATCTATATGATGATTTAAAAGCACTGATATGGAAGGCGAGTTGGCAAAGAAAGAAAGCTAGAATAAGGCTGAAGAAAATTTGGAAGTATAAATATTAAAATTAAATTTGAATATTGATTTGTTTATAAAGATTGAATGTAAAAGCTAATTAAGATATGTGTGTGTGTGTGTGTGTGTGTGTGTGTGTGTATAAGCTAAAAATATATTTTTAAATGTAATAAACATGTTTTCACTTAGCTGATATAATAAAAACTACTAGCTCCAATATGAGATAAATAGACATTAAGAGAAAAAGAGAGGAAGTATTTGTTGTTGAAATAAGAGAAAATTTGCTTACTAAATTTAAGATGTTTGGAAATTAATAGAAAATAAGAATATTATACTGTATTATCAATTAGTTGATGTAAGATGGTGAGAAATAGAATATATCCAAATAGATAAGAAGTGTATTCTGAATGTTAGATTTTGTGATGAGTTGTGATAATGAGAATTTTGATTATGTAAAACTTGGAAATTATAAATACTAAATGTTAAAGTTAAACATTAATGAGAAATTAAAAATTGGAGGAAACTAATTAGGACATTGATTGTCTATAAAAACTGAATGTTAAAATAATAAGAATATGTATAAGCCAAACATCATTGATAAATATAAGAACGTCATTTTTATTTAATTGATTTAATAAGAATTATGTTAGCTTAGACAGGAGACCGTGAATACTGAGGGGAAAAGAGAGGAAAAATTTGATATAGTAGCTTGAGATTTCTATTGAAGATATTTTTATGTTATTGTATTATTGATTGGCCCAGCCGTCACATTGCTTTTTGAATACTTAAATGTAAAATTAGAAAATCAATAAAACATTTATATAAAAGAAGGATAAATCCACCATGAAATCCAAATAATTTTACTGTATGGAAATATCAGCAACACTTAAAAGAACACCATTGCTTGAAAATGGAAAGCCACAAACTTTCTTCAGTTCCTGAAATTCGTTATAACACTAAATATAGAATCCTAGAGTTGGAGGAGTATTTGGAGGTTTTTTAGTCCAACCCCCTGTTCAATGAAGGAATTTTCATGCAATCCTGAGCAAATGGTTGTCCAGTTTTAGCATTAAATATATATATCTTGTTGCAGATCTCTGAAATTTGAATTTTCCTCACATTAATAAAGTGGTATTGAATGTTATATCTTTGCCTAAGGTCCCTAAAAAGTTTGGTCAATGCTTTGACAATGAATAATTTAAAGACTCCATGACAATCTTGCTTCTTTTCGTAGGAGAACCTTCAGATTGCTGTGTATGCCTCATTAATGCCATTTAGTTACCCAGCTTGTCAGTTGGGTAGTTCCTAAAGATCTACCTGCAAGTTTTGTGTAGCAATAGAATCAAATGCAAATTTGAAACTAATAAAACTTTATATATTGTATATAAGTCTATCATTTTAGAAATATTAATAACAATAAATAAAATTTCATTTTATGAATCATCCATAAGTTCCATGTTACTTTATTTTAAAAAGTAAATTTGCCTAATACTGTTTGTGAATTTGTTTCATGTGTTTTCCCCTTTTCTTTTAAAGCTCATTAAAATTTTATAAATGTTAACAAATATTATCCCATTGATTCCATTGAATTTTATGACTATAGGCTTTCTAGAGTATCTGTGGATTGGGTTTATTTGTATGAAATTCTATGTAAGAATATAAGTAGTCCTCTGCTTATGACCACATTTGACCAGGAATCTCAGTCATTGAGCGAAGCAATCAGTAAGCAAGATGCCACTTGACTGCTTCACCCAATGACATCAGTCCTAGCTCCCTCAGTTGTGGTCATTAAGCAGCTGTGTGGATTGTTAAGTGGACTGCCAGGGAGAGCACCTAAGCCTCCTAGGCATGGGCAGGGAGGACCCAGGCCTTCCATCACACCTTGAGCCTAAACTTTCTCTCCGACCTACTTAGGAGAACAATTGTACAAATATTGACATTCACTAATGTTTTTGCCAGATTTGGGGCCATTTCTCCAGTGTGCCACGAGATTTCCCCTCTGGAATTGTTTGCTGGCATTTTCCCTTCTGGAATCTTTCTGAACCTTCCAGAGAAGAGGGAAAACAGTAGTAAATGCCACCATTCTAGAAGGCTCAGAATGCTGGCATTTGTTGCATTTTTGCCAGATTTGAGGTCTGCTCCTTCAATGTGCAGAATTTCTACATGGAGAGCATAGGAAATCCCTTGGCTTGCCAGGGGAATGGACCTCAAATGTAATATCTTCTCTGCTTGCCACCTTCCCTGCCAGCTTCCCCACTGACTTTCCAGGGAAGGTGGCAGAGAAGATTGCAGATGATGATTACATTATTGCAGGGCACTTGGCAACCTGAGAAGACCTTAGTCATAAATGCAAACAGGTTGCCAAGCACCCAAAAGGCAGTCAAATAACCCTAGTGGGTGGGTTGGTACAACCTTTGACTATGGCTGCAAATGTTTTACAGGCCATAAAGCATCCATTCTGAGGACTATCTGTATTGGTCAATATTCTAACAAATGAATATATTGCATGTATTTATATATCTAGGAACTTCAGTTTTTTTAAAGGGGCATGTAGGTATACATGTATATGTGGATGCAAATAGATATTTTATACCCACAAAACACATTATTGTAAAATGAATATGTGGCTAGATATTTATTTTCTCAATAATCATATATCCTTTTTTCAGTTTAACATGACTCAGGATGTTAGTGAACTAGAAAATACTATGGCTAATTTGAAGTGTCAGTTTGAGAAAACATTGCAAGACAGTACTGCAAGCCAAAAATCCTTGGAAGAGAATCTGGTGTCAACAAAACATGACTTACTTAAGGTTCAAGACCAGTTAGCTCTGGCTGAAAAGGTTTGTTTCACCAATTACATTTGTGGCCTTTTTTTCAACTTTAATTTTTATTATCTGGAAAGAAATTATTTTAATCCCATGTTGATTTTAATCATAAAAATTAGCTTCAGCATATTATAATTTTAAATAATTCAATACTTTATGACTTTGATTAGTCTTTTTACATGAAATACTTTGCTAAACTAAACTGTTTTGATGTACAAATATACTTATTTTTCATGTATTTGTAGATACTGGCATTTTGGATAATTTAATGCTAGTATAATGCAAATATAGTATATTTAAAATAATATTTTAATAATTCAAAATTCATAGGAATTAGAAAAGAAGTTCCAACAAACTGCTGCCTATCGCAATATGAAGGAGATTCTCTCAAAAAAGAATGAGCAGATAAAAGAGCTACGAAAGAAGCTTTCAAAGTAAGTGGTTGTCCTCCACTTGAATTTTTTTTATAAAGAAATTTTATTGTTTTTTTCATTTTTACATAAAGGTGCTTGAGAAACAACGTGGTGATTGGGCTATCAATTATCTAAGAACAAAATTATACCTATATCACATGGATTAATTCCTTAAAAGTTCCCTCTCTATTTCCCATATATTATTTTACCAATTAAAATTATACATTTGTAAAAAAAGCTCAATCAATCCAATCAGTCATCAATCACATTTCAATTATAAGAATCCAAGTGCTGTTTTTAAGCTTTACTATTTTGAAAATTACCATATTCCAGTTAAGCTATATCAGTGGTTCTCAACCTGTGGGTCGGGACCCCATTTGGGGTCGAACAACCATTTCACGGGGGTCGCCAAACAACGCAGTCCACCATTTTTCCCCCCTTTTCCTTAGCTGTGCTACTCCCTTTTATTCTATTGGCTTTTGAAAGCCAGTAGAATAGACTCTCTTGAATAGAGTCTAATTCTATTGGCTTTCAAAAGCCAATAGGAATTGTCCAGGCTGTCTCTGCCCTGCTGAGCCCAACAAAAGTCCCATTCTGCAAACGGTGCTGCACCAGTTGAGTAGTCCTTGACTTACGACCGGATGAGTAGTCCTTGACTTACGACCGGTTGGGGGTCGCGGCATTAAAAAGGTTGAGAACCACTGAGCTATATAGACATATTAACACTTTGGGCATCCCTCATTTCTCTTTTCCCTATCATGGTGATTCTATCTAAGATAAATATATTATCCCAAAAAGCAACATCCTTATGTTTTTTAAGATATAGCCTATTGCTTAAACTAATACATCATTTATTAATACTATTACTTCTCTTATCACAAATACCTCCTCTTCTCCCTCTATTACGAAATAGTTGTCTTGGTTAAAATAAAGATATCAGTCCAAAAAACTACATTTCTATCTATTTTAAATGTATATTCTATCAATCAATTAAGTAAAATTTACCCGTCCAACTACTTGTCATCTCTAATACCAAATATTGTTACAGAAAATATCCTTTTACAAAATCACCTATTTCATTTGTTATTAAAACAATCCAAGTGTCAACAATCTTTTTAACCCATTCAGTGAAATTTTAAGCCACATTTTTAAACCTAATTCTAGCTTTCTTTCTATGCCAAACTGGTTTCCATAATAAAGCCTCTGCATCATCAAACCTCAACATTTGAGTAAAGCTATTTCTCAAAACATCAAAATAGTTCAAGTTCTCTTCTCTTTCTTCCAATGTCATCTGAATAGTATAGTCAGTTTTATTCCTTATTGTAGTTATTAGTTGATTGTCCACATTATCACAATTTTCAATAACCGGTACCTGAATGTCAAGCTCTGTTATTTTTGGGAGATCAAATAGCTCAGTTAATGTTATTCTTTGATCATCAATGTTCTCCATAGGTCGTAAATAGGATTGTGTAGAATTAATTTGCTCAGTAGTTTCTACTGTAAGTTCATAATTAAATTGTAAGTGCAGTTCCTCTATCTCATTCAGTTGTATATCTTGTTGAGTAGGAACCTCTCTAGGGTTACTCTGTTCTTCCTCCGTTATTCTTTGGTCTATAGTTTGAACCGATGGTTGAAAGTCAATTTGTGGTTCTCTAGTATATCTTTGATTTTTCTCCAAGATTTGATATGAGTTTTCATATAGTTTGTAGTTTCCAAAATCTTTTCCAATATAAGTTCATAGTCAAGCTGTGGATAAGATTCTTCCATTTCAATGGTGAAATAGTCTTTGATCAAGAATAGTCTTTGATCTTTTAGTGGAGGCTATATTTCAAAAAGGTCAACAAATATCCACCTCCAAAATTCTAATAAGCACATTCACTACAGCTGTTGCAAATCTTTTATTTTTTCCCTTTTGTTATAATTTGAAGGTCAAATTCATCTTCAAATAGCAAAAGAAAATACAGTTGTAATGGCACTTTTCTCCACAAGATGTCCTCAGTGGACTGTAAACCCTTTCTTCCAAATAGGTAAAAATTTATCTCTTTTGGGAAACAAAAAAAGCAAAAGCAAGTATCTCCGGTATAATAGATAAAGTAAAAAATATAGCGTTTCTTTTTTATTTTTTTCAGGTCCCCTAGGTATCCAAAGAGAAAAATCAAGTAGTCAATAAAACTTTAACTATTTTAGTTCTTTTAAAACTTTATTTCCCAAGTAGACAGATGCTGCTCTCTTAAGACAGGGAAGTTATCAAAAACTTTTTATAGGCAAATAGTCAGTACAGAGAGAGGGAGGAAAGGTCTCACCTGGATTCACCATGGTGGTTCTTTATGCTTAAATGATTTTCTGACTTTGGCTGGTGCAGCTAAGTGATCGGCCATTTTATTAGCCGATCTTCTTCTCTGTTGGCTCTATGGAGTTAGCTTGGACTGCAGGGGGAGCTGCAGCTCCGCCGCCGCTCCACCACAGCCGAGCAAAAGCCTCCTCGACAGTAGTCACCCCTCCAGGACGATTTAAGACCCACATAAGGGTCTACCGGCGGAGAGAAAACAGCTGCCACGATCCGGAAGCGGAAGTCCTCCACTTGAATTTTTTATACGTTCTGTGTTTTTTTCTATTAATGATATTTGGTTTTACTAAATCATGATAATTTTTTAAAAAATCAATTTTAATTTGTTTTTATGCATTGTTGCCAAAAACCTACTATATAAAATAGTAAGCCATCCAAATCCTGTCAATCAATTAAATAGATAAATATGCTCCCAGGTTGTGGACCTGTTTTTTCTAGGGGAATGTGACTCTTCCAACAAATGCTATTTATACAAATAATGGATTAATTTCACTATTGTAATGTGAAATCAAAATGTGTAGTGTGAAAATTTACATCTAAGCATGTCTCTATTTTACTTTCATAGATATGAGCCAGATGATTAAATTCGGAAGAATTTGTTTTGTTTCAAGAAACTGCCACAAAATGAAATGAAAATACAGATTTGGAAAAAGGATTTGTTGTTCAATATGTTTCAGTATGTTTTCTAAGCAGTCTACTTCCTTTTTTAATCATTTTATTATTAGAAAGCCATAAGTGAAAATGCTGAATAAAGAAAAATACATATTTGTTATTTAGGGCCATTTTAAATGTTTAAATCATATACTGCAGACATGTCAAACTCGCGATGTCACATGATGTCACACAACATATCGGGACTGTTTCACCATTGCCGGCAGTGGGGTGGGCACGGCTTCCGCATGATGCATCTGGCCCGGGGTCGGCAGTTGGACACCCCTGATATACTGCATACAAATGCAGAACATTTACCAATTTCTTTGTACAGTAAAAAAAGTTTATTATGAACAGTAGTTCAAAATAGTTATAGTTTTTTGCATATTGTTAAAATACAATTCTAATGAAAACTCCCTAAAGTTTATATTTTTCTGAAACATTGCTTTTCTTTTTCAGAATATTAGCTAGAAACATGAGTTAATTCTGTTGCCATGAAACATAGCACCCACGTTTAGCTTGAAGCTGGTAAGAAACATGATCCCTGAAAAAAAAAACTTTTACCTATGCAAAGGAGCTTTATTGTCCACCCGAAAATACAAATTACCAAGTAATTCAGGCAAAGCAAAAAGCATTTATTTAGGAAGGTCAGGTCTTTATACAGGGTACAGAAATAACCAAATGCTACATAACGTTCTGTATATGTGATGTGCAAAAAGCAACTGATCAAACAATAACACATTAAGTAAACATAGGTTAGACACAATTAAAATTTGTTGCATCTTCTGCTTTCCCATCGGGCTTGTTTTTTTAATACTTGCAATACATAAGGACTTCAGACTATGCTCCTTATTTGTTTAGTCTCCAAAAAAGTTAATATTTGCATATAAAAGAAATAAATGGTTTTGGCTAAAAAAGAAAATATGATTTCCTGAACTTCATGCCATGCTAAATGCTAATATCATCTTTATTAAAATGCTAATAATGAGGCCTGCAATTCCAGGTAACAATTTGACCATCTGATTCTGTTTCACAAGGACAGTGGCTTCATAGAAGCATTAAAATCTAGAATGAACCCTCCTGGACTTGATCAATCGTCTTGCAGTGGAATTTATAAGCAGCATAAATACTTCCACCTGGAATGGATGTTTCTGGTCACTCCTACTGCCCTCCAAAGTGCTTATGCTTGTTTCTATAAGGATAGGAACTGGAAGTTATTTCATTGCCCTTGCCCATGGATTAACTGAGGTGGCAGGGAGATATCTCCATCCCTTTGGAAGTCCTTGGCCTTGGAGGTTTCCACAAAAAGCTCCAGGAGCAAGCCAGTCTTCAATAGCTTGGGTACCAGAATGTTCTTTCACGTATACAAGAGTTGTTGATCCAGAAGACTAAGAAAAGCATATGTAGCAATTGGTTGTACATTAGGAACCATCAAGAAGAAACTCTCCCAAGAAGCTCCAAAAGACAGTGCAAGTAGCAGTCCCAGCAACTGAAAGAAACTTTTCATAACCAATACCGGGGGAACTTGAAACAGATGTAAAGGCTGAACGAAACAATTGCTGAATAGCCAATCTAGAAATCTAATCAGCAAAGTGATTGCCTTTAGTAATAAAATATGTGCATCCAAAGAAGAAACAATTAGGTTTGAGTGAGCAATCTGGCAGTATAAGGTGGTAAAAAATCCTCTCAGCTTCCATAAGGTACCTATAGCATGGCAAACACCAAAAGCATACAGGTGGTCCTCAACTTACAATCATTCGTTAGTGATCAAAGTTACAAGAGCACTGAAAGTGACTTGTCATGCTTATGACTGTTACAGCATCCCCATGATCGTGTGATCAAAATTTGGAAGCTTGGCAACCGGTTCATATTTATGGTTGCAGTGTCCCATGGTTTTGTGATCACATTTTACAACCTAACTAGTCAATGGGCAAACCAGAGTCGTTTAACAACTGTATTTCTAATTTAATAGCTACACTGATTCACTTAACTAGCAAGAAAGATCCTAAAATGGGACAAAACTTATTTAACAGTTCTTGCTTAGCAGCAGAAATTTTGGGCTCAATTGTGATCACAAGTCAAGGACTACTTGTGCTTAGAAGATATTGCTAGGTATTTCGGCGAACATTTTAACAGTTTTGTCCCTGACAATACAATAAGCTTGATTTAAGGCAGTAAATTCAGTTGTTTGGGCCCTCTAGGGAGGCAAGACATGCCCAGCAGATTAAATGAACTCAAAGAGGGCTGGAAATACAAAAGAACCAATACAAGTCCCTAGAAAATATGCACAATTCACAAGATATTATTATTTACTGTTACTTGACCCCACTGCTATCACTACTACTATTTGAGATTTCTACTACTACTACTTGTGCGTGGTACTAGTGAAATTTATTTCTCTCCTGCTTCAGGCAGGTTTACTGTCATACATAGACACATACCTTCCCTCATCATCACTACCTCAGTTCTTCAGCACAACTTTTATAGCCAATGCTGCCATGCTGGCTGGGAATATGGTTAAAAGAGCCAGGATAAAAGCAATACAAGTGCTGGCTGTTTTCTAGGCAGCCTGCTCTCTCACATACTTCACCCCTTTGAATAAAATATATATATATTTTTTTCTCTCTCTCTTGATAAGACTAATACCATATCTGAGTCTTTTTCATATCACAATAGCTGCCCCACCCAATTTATGATATTATAATGTAAGATATCATCTGGTTAATTGATATCTTTTATTTATTGAAGCCAGATGATTTATTGATAGTCACCATAGTGAATTACCACTCTCAGATATATATGCAGAGCATCACTTTCCATTTTAAGGCAAGCAAAGCCATCCCAGGTGCCTTTTCTTCAGGAGATTAGCATGGCAGTTTTTTCTTTTTTCTTTGTCTTCCAATTGCCCTAGTTCTTCTATTTATAATGGAGGGACCTGACACTTAGCCTGTAATTTGCTTTTCTTACCAATAACACTTTTGGTCTCCTGCATTAAATCATCTGCCTTTAAATCCTTATCATAGTGTCTTTTCTGGCCTTCCTGACTCTTTCTAAATGGGCAATGCATCCTAGGGCTTTTAATACTCCCCTACATTAATATATTCAATTCTTAGGGCCTTCTACGTTTTCACACCAGTCTTCTTTAATAATGTCGAAAACTCTTCTAGGTTGTCTCCCATAAAGTAATTCAAAATGTCTAAATCCCAAGGATGTCTGGGGATTTTCCTTATATGCAAACAATAGAAAAAACAGCTACGTATCTCAATCTTGGGGTCTTGGCTTGAATATTCCTTGAGCATAGTTTTTAGGGTCTAATTCATCCTTTCAGCAAGGCCATTGACTTGTGCATGAAAGAGGCTGTTATATACCCCTTTTATTCCTAGATATACATAAAGATATTTAAGCAGTGCTGATTGGAAATTGGACCCTTGATTTGTGATGATGTCATTTGAATGCCTATCTAACACTAAAAATTTACCAACTTCTATACTTTTGGCTGTCACATTCCGTAATGAAACTGCTTCGGCATATTAAGTTGCATAATCATAGAAAACTAGAATATATTAATTGTCTTTCTGGGATTGTGGCAAAGGGTCTATCATGTCCATGGCTACTTTAAAAAGACCTTTTCAAAAACATCTTCTTTGAAATTAGATGATGGGAAATGGAAAATGCCAAAGAGGGGGAAAGTTATACTTGATGATTTAGTGTGCGAATTTCAGTTCTGGCTTTACCTTACTGCAATTCATTTGACTTCTAATAAAGCTATACCTTTTGCAACAAATGGACCTAAGAATCGTTTTACTTAGGAATCTAAGCTGAGTCAGATCTGACAGGTAGGCTTTCTGAAGCCAAGCACTGACGTCCCAATGCATGCAATTTGCAGTGAAAAAGTTCTTAACAAAATCACAGCAAAGAACCATATGTATTACCTCTCATATCAGACTTGCTAGATAGATTTAGGCAAGCTGGACCTCAGAAATGCATTAGTCAAAGAAGGATATGAATTTTTAACAGCATTCAATACCAGGTATGGAAAGTTTGTATGTACTGTAATGCTTTTTGGTTTGCACAATTGTGAAGGTGTGTTTTCCAAATTTATGAACCAAATTTTTTCTGATATAATCGATAAATTTGTAGTATAATTGACAAATTTGTAGTAATTTATCTAGTTGATATTTTGATTTAGTCAGAGGACGAAAAAGTTCATGAACACCATATTTGAAAGGTCTCATGCAGATTACATGATAATCATCTATTTGCCAATTGGAGAAATGTGTATGTGATTTGAAGAAGTTAGATTTTCTGGGTTATTGTGTTTCCATAGATGGAATCCAAATAGATCCCCAGAAGGTGCATGAAAGTGCTCTCCCTGCAGTCTCCCCATAGCGTAAAAGAGGTTCAGCATTTCCTAAGCTTTGCAAACTTTTATAGGAAGTTTATTCCAACTTTGCACATAAGGTTAAGCTTCTCACTCAACTGCTGAAAAATAAAGTGAAATTTGATTGGGCAGAAAGGGAACAGTCTAATTCAATGAGTTAACATTGCTCTTTGCCAAGTAGCCCCTTCTCCAATACCCTGATCCATCAATGAAATTTATTTTCCAGAGAGATGCCTCAGACACAACATTATTATTGCAGGAGGGGCCAGTTTCTCCCTTGTGCCTTTTACTTCAGAGTGCTAACTTCTCCATAAAGGAATTATCACATTTTTAATGAAGAAATTTAGCAGTGAAAGCAGCTTCTAAAAGTACCACAGAGTAACTAATGAGTTTATTAATGATTGTGGTGTTCACTTGATGTCCATGTGCGTATACTGGAAATACCAAAGGCTTCTCTTTATGTCTGTTTAACTGTAACACAAATACAGTATATCTAGATAAACAATTCTTTTTGTCAGATCTTTCTGCCACTGTCTTTACTGTATTTCATTCTTATATCCACACAGCTTAAAGACAGTTTAGATTATCTCCAGCTGTTCAAATTTTAAAATATTGCTTTGCTCTTTTCCAACATAATTTCTTAATGGATATGATCTAGAATGATTTCTCAATAACATGATTAATTGTGGGTGATTGAATTGGGATGTGCTCAGTTCTAGCAAATCACTTTAGGCTGCTGGAGGTTGATCCCTCTCCTCTAATACTAGGTACTATCTTTCATGCCCATTTAGAAGAGTTAGAGTCTGATTTCCACAGAAATATTGCCCAAGTAATGTCTGACCAGAATGTTCCAAAACATTTGTCAGATCTCACCTGAACACTTACTTTCTCTCTCTCTGTGGATTTAGTCCTCTTTTGAAAGATTGCTGGTCCAGTTCTTCACAAAAGGTCAATTTAAACTGGCAGAGGGAGCAGTATGTTGATGTCTAGGTGAATGCATTATAGGTCAACCACTCCTTTTGCTGAAAAATATTTCACATAGCTGTTTATTTTATTATATTTATCACTTCAGTTGTGGTAGGAGTTAAACTAGCCATTCCAATCACCTGTCTATAGTTGCCCATCTCCAGCCTGCTGTATATTAAAAAGAGCAATTAGTAATGTTTTTTCCCATCTGCAAGAGAACATTGATGGGAAGGTAAATAAAGCTATGTTTTTTAAAAACTTTCCTTCGCTACGGACACCACCCCTTTCTATTCCCATTACTTAAAATAGTGATGAGGCCAGTTTCTACATGGCAACAAAAACTCTTCCATAAAGTGGTTGTCCGGACTTGTACAGCCTAAAGCCAATGGCTCTAAGTCAGGATGTCAGAATCCAATCATATTTCATCTTTAATTATCAAATATAGAAACTCCCAATTCTGCCTTCTTTGGATTCTGCCATAAGAGGGAGAGAAGGGGGAGAACAAAGGGGCTTTATGGCCCTCACTTCCTTCAGTACACTTCAAAGAGCTGAATGCTGAATGTGTGTTTATTGTA